GATCACTTCCTTCCCAGGGATAGTGCTGCTGCTGCACAACTACTTCACCTTCGTCATCTTCACCAGGATGATCTGAATGGCCAGAAAAAATCTATGAGGCAATAGAACATTAACATGATCAACTATAATTTCAATTAATGAATTTGAATTCTTACCAGTCAAATCATCAGCCACATCTCCGATTTCCTCATTCAATACTTTGGTTTCCACCTGACATTGAGAAAAAAAAATATATATATATATATATGCCTTCACTTAACTAGTTCCAAAATACTTACTAGTTTCTTCTTCTTCTTTTTCAGGCCAGTAAAAGTGCTCTCAAGGCCATCAGAGACTGCAAGTAGAGAAATAATAATGATAATAGTACTAATCTCCAGGAAATTAAAATGCAGATTGTAGCACAATTTAACAATTCATGAATCATGACAAAGCACCTGACAATGATTCAGTTTTCTCAGCCAGCTTGTCTGCAGAATCATCTACAGGATCCTGCAGAACAACCTTATTCTTCTTCTTCTTTTTAATAGGATCGAAGGGAGCAAGCTAAAACAGAAAACAAAAAAAATTCAATAATCCATACGCTTCTCGAATGAAGAATTCAACAGCATCTTGTTCTCCAGGAAAAGGATTACAAAATATCAAATTATCAAACTCATAACATAGGGCTTAAAACCATAACCAACTCCAATTTAAAAAGACTTAACTGAATCAGGGATTCCCAAAAAAAAAAAAAAAAAGAATTACAATAAAGAGTAGTAGAACCTAATTCAAATTTAGAACCTATTTGATTTGAATCCAGTAAGATGTGAAGAGTGGTATTACCTCTCCCACGTCGTCCTTGAGTTCAGTAAGAGCTTCGTCAGCCATGATTGCTGCAAAACAAAGAGCAGAAGTAAGACACGGGAAATCAAACAAATCAGTGCATAGACACACAAAAGATTGCGATGCAAACAAAACCCTCCAACAACAGAAATAGACAGACTTATATAATTTGAATATCGGATAAAGCAACAAGGATTTTTTTAATTTAAAATAAAA